ATACACACTTCGGCTAGATTGCACGATTTCTTCTTTTCAATAATGGTCCCAACTCAATCTCCCATGCTTTGTTACAAATAAGACCATGAACCCCACAAAGTGCAGGTAAGTGTCAAGATATTCAAAGATTCTCCTACAGAAGAAAAAAATAAAAGAAAAAGAAAATGGTTCGCTAAGGTTGCAGCCCTATCAAAAGAAGTAAGGTCTCAACTCATAATACATCAAATATTACAATTCAAGCTATGGAAAATATTTTTATTGATCATCTCTGCTTGAACATATTAGTGGTGAAAAAAATTAGGATTTTAAGCTCTAAAATTGTGTTTATCATAACACTTATCTAGACAGAACATTCCACCGTAAAAACAAGTGTTCATATATTCACAAAATTTATATTATTTTTTTAGCTTCAAATTTTATTGTCAGCATTGGAAATTGATTTAGATCAAGAGATTTCCATTGCGGAAAATGCTTTCTAGATAAAGATTTGAGGTGAGGCTTTTTTTTGTTGTCATAAGCCTGGGCCTTATAGAAACTTCATCCAAAAAAAAAAAACAACATACATACACGGAGTGTTAATACCAAATAATACAATAGGCACATGTTTAGGTGAGAAGGTTATAGGTGCAGGTACGTGCCTACTATTTGCGATGGAATTTCTTGCGCCTAGATTCCATGGTTTTGGAAAATGAGTATTTGTTACCTCACATCATGACATGAATTTTCACGGGTAAGAAAAGACAACAGTGATACATCCTTTTCGCAAAAGTAAAAGCATGTTTCAAGCAGCATAAAGGAGAGATTGAAAGCTAGAGCCTTAGAAACACACACATTATAGAGCATGATGTTTGAGGAAAATCACTTATGATAAGTTCAAGAGGAAGCACCGCACAGTTTGGATTGAAGAGGCATATTCTAGCGGTCATCAGGATTGGGCCTGGGCCCATCCTGAAAGTACCTTGGTATTTGGTGAATTTGCCTCCATAGAATAGAATATATAGGAGTCAATAGTTTAATCCGTGAAGAGACTGTAGGTAATTGGCAGGCCCAACTAGCCCGGCTGATCTAGCAGAGCCAAATGAGACCCAAATAATTGTCTTACTATGTAAAGCCTGCTCCAGTACAAACTCCGGCCCTTTGCTAGCCTTATTCGACCTCCGAGTATGTTAAAATGGGGCCACACACACATTAATAAAAGGAAAATTGTTCCATGAGTCAGCGGGTGCAAGAGCCCAAGGACTCTTCATCAATGTCCATCTTTAAGATGGATGTTGTGTAAAACGCACAGGTCAAATCAAGTACGGATGGTGCCAAAAATATCTCTAAAAAAAATACCTTTTTTTCCATATTTATGATCAGCTTGGCTTAGATGATGAATTCTTAAAATTTTGGATAAAAAAACCCATCTTTAAGGTGAATTTTAGAGGGGGCCGCAGATGTACAGAGGAGTCGGCTGACTCATAGAAACCCATCCATAATAAAAAACTGGGGCCCGAGTGCAAGGTGATAAAAAATGCAAACCAAAATATGATGGTGGTGGGGCATCCTCACAAATCTCCTTTTTCGAATTCCAATGTTTTCTAGCCACACCTAAATGCTCCAAACTTTAAAGTGGCAAACTTGAGGTTTTGAACCCTTCACCTCAATCATGCAGTCTGGACCATTGGACTCCAAACACATGACTGTAAAACTCAAAATAGATATTTTTCATATATTTTCAAATGGCTGAGTAGAGGTTTGTAAGGGATCCTCCTCAAGTCTTCACCTCAAAAGGCCAACACAAAAAGGAAGAAAATTGAATGAGAATAATATACAAAAATCTTTTTTTTTTTTTTGGCCTTTTTTGTTTTTCACCGATTACTTTTTGGTTGAAGGTGAATGGCAAGAATGTAAGACCGGGAGATGCCACTGCAAAGAAAGAGGAGGACCACCAAATCAAAATTGGATGGTTTGAGTGAAAGATGAAAAGATGGGAAGCATTATGTCTCTCCTCAACCATACAAGAAGTGCATCGGTCACATGGTACCAACTCTCAAGTCCAATTAATTGATTTTGGTGAGAATTCGCTGACTCACATCCCCCCTCATTTTTGGATCGAAGCTAATCTAGACCATGAGGATTGTGTAAAAGGAACAAAATAAATTACACCATCGATTTTGAATTTTGACCATGAGGATTGTGAAAAAGGGACAAAATAAATTACACCACCAACTAAGGTTTAGGTTTCCATTCTCACATAAGACATTAAAAAACCACTAATGATTTGAAAAACAGGTAAGAGCTCATCATCCCTATTGAACTACCCAAGAAAAAAAAAATTGGCTTACCAAACTTCTTCCTCGTAAGAATGCTAGGTTTTTGAGAAATTCTCACTCTTGGGGTACTCAAATAAATATTCGAAAAAATTTAACCAATAAAATGCAAGTCAAACTTTGAAGAAAAATGGGCTTTATTATTTTTGTGAATTTATAAATGTTATTTGACATGGGTGAAGTTTTTACACGCCATCAACCTAAAATAATCAAAGTACGCCGCATGTCAAAACTATGCCCAAAAATGCAGTTTTGGTGCCAGAAAGCCTTACGATGGCATGAAAATCTATTGTTGGTGCTAATTATGAAATTTAAAATTCAAAAAATAGGTTAAATCAATCATATCTATAAACAATTAAAAATTTAAAGAAATGGATGGTCCAAAAAATGTGTTATAAGATGCACTACTTTCAAAAATGTGTTATAAGATGCACTACTTTCATGACTTGAAACTTTTTTTTTCTCTTCATATCCAAACATCTAGATGTTGAGATGATCGTTTTGAGGTAGCATCATAATAACCTTTTCCAATGAGTTTTTGAGGTGCGCTTTATTTCAATAGTATAGAAACTTAAGGGGATATTTTCTCCTCAATAGTACAGAAACCTTTCGGATATTTTCTCAAAAATAGCATTCACAATTAAGGGGATGATTTTCAGTTCAATGAATGGGTTGTATACTATAAGACCATCTACTTTTGTTATGAGTAGGTCATAATTATTTTTAGCTATTGAATTTTAAATTTAATAAATTGAAGCATGTCACAATATTTGAAAAATTTTATTTTGGATTTTGTGTTCAACTAATAATATTTTTCCAACCACCAGATCTCATGTCCAACTGGTAAATAATAGTTATGACTTTCTTATATCAAAATAAAAAAAAATTGTTTCATGCAGGTTGGACAGCATTTCTACTAGATGTAGTCCAAGGTATAAAGCATCCATCTCATAGAGGGATGCAAATAATTAGTCCATCCAAAAACAATTGAAACTATAGGTATAGGTTCAAATGTTCTTTTCATAAAATCATTATTTTTATTCCTTAAAATTTATTTATTTTTTTATATTCATGATCCTCATGTTAAGGAATGCATGTCCCTATAAATTTGGTCGGAAAATCCATCTCAAAAATAGATTTTTAAAGGATGGACAGGACTCATTTCTACATGTATTCATACATAGAAACCGTGTCCTTAAGCATATAGCGATGTCATTTCTCAGAAAAAAGGCCATATTTTTGGGGATTGGTGTAGAGGACAAGAGCTTCAAATAATAATAATAACGAATACGATTACGGCTCGCATCGATGTTGAAAAACGAAAAAGAACGTAATTGATGAGTTGGCAAATGAATTGAAGCGCTCCAAAAAATTCAAACTTTGATTTCACATTTACAGTATGGTACGCTTCAGTTTATGTTACCGCTCCTGCTCCAAAGCTGACACGCTCACTGTCTCTATGAGAACAAATATCAAGAGCGACCGTATACTATACTTTTTGACATCATCAATTACCAGTTCACAGATACATGTCCTCTTTTTTTTTTCATGGATCATTTCAAACGTCTCAGCCCAAAAAATGGAGCTCTCAGTGGCTTCTTTTACATGGGATGGGTTAGAACTTAGAACTCTAAAAACAAAGCTCTTTTACTGCATGCAAACGAAGAAATATTGGAAGCAAAAAGAACATAAAAATTAAACAAGGAGATAGTGAGAGGTATGCATACGAAAAGCCCCTAAAAGATTATGGGGTGGAATGCTGTCGTATTTTAAGAGAGAGAGCAATAAATCCAGGGAACACGGAGCTTCTTTTTTTTTTTGTAATGTATATATTTTTTATTAATAAGACTGTGAAACCATCTGATCTTTACACTGCAAAAATCATCTCATATAATCAAAGGGAGGATCAAACAGAAGCGAGAGAGAGTTTTGGGATGAAGAAAGGAAGAAAAGGAAAACCAAGCAGTGAAGAGAGAGAGAAGTAATTAAGAAGACTATTTGTCAAGAGCGTTGGGGCCAAAACAGTAGTTGAGGACGGGGTTCCACACCCACTGCACAAGGAACCTCCTCCTCTCTCCGTTGAGGTTGTAGGTGGCTCCAGTCCGGTGGTCCAGCGAGAGCTGGCCCGTGTAGGAGCCACCTCCGCCGGTGCCGTAGATGCCCTCGCAGAGGTCGGCAATCTCGGTGGGGAAGCATGGGTCCTGCCCGGCGTACCACGCATTCACGAGGGGATTGGTGGAGAGCTCGGCCATCTCGTGGGCGATCACACTGATCATTCCATCGACGCCCACGTTCCCATTGGGAGGGACGAGGGGTTTGAGCCCGGGCATGTACGCTGGCACCGCAAAGGGGTAGGCGCACACTCCTGGACACTGCTTCGCCGAGTTCCCGATCCAGGCGTAAGGGAGAGTGTAGCCGACCACCGAAGGGAAGGTGAAGTAGTGGAAGCCACACACCTGGCCACAAAAGTCCTGCATCCGGACATGTGGGGCGGTGAGTACAAGGTAGAGGCCATCGCGGGGCTCAATGGGGAGGGGCTTGGTCGAGGCAGTGATGGCGCCTTTAATGATGGACTGGACAGAGAGGCGGGTGAGGGAGGTGCCGCGGGAGCACCGCCTGTCGTTCTTCTCGTGACCGAGGACCACGGCCCGGCTGATGTTCGCCCCCGTCTGGTCCGTGTAGAGCCGCACCGTGCTCCACCACTCGGCCAAGGAGGGGGAGGGGACGTTAGAGGAGGAGAGGGAGCGGATAAATCCCCTGATGATCCTCTTCTCCGGCGCCTCCCACCGGCCATACCAGATGATGTGCACGGTGATGTTGGAGGTCATCACAGGACCCATGTGGTACCTCAGCTCCACCAAATCCGAAGACCCCTCATACTTTTTGGATCCCCCGAACTCTAAATCACCACCACCACCACCACCACCACCACCCTCACCCTTACCCTTACCCTTGCTGCTGCTGTTGTTGTGGAGTTGGGACGGCCATGGCCTCCAGGCGTCGACGACACCGCTACACACAAAAAATGAGAGGGAGAGCAGGAGGACCGCCACCGGACCACCTCCCAACAAGGAACCCATTTTCCGGCTTGTTTGTTGCGTAGAAGAAGGGGGAGGAGGAATTGGGTGTATTTGTAATGGTGGGAAAAGTTATTTTGCGAGAGAATAAAAAAAAAAGCGCCGCTACGCCGGGATGCGGAGCGGAGAGAGTGAGTGTGGTGTATTTTGATGATGAGGGAGCGGCATTGCCACTGCCATTGCCATTTGCCATTTGCCATTTGCCATTGCAATTGCCATTTATGAATTATTTCGAGTTAGGAAAAAGGTTGGGTATTGGAAGACAGATAGATTCTTAAAGTCTAGCTGTCAAACAGGGCCCAGGAGCAGGCGCCTCCATCATTATCCCCCCATGGTCCGGTCCCACTAACTCCACGTCAAAACCCTGCCCTGCTCTGCTCCCTACAAACACAGCCCACTAATGAAAAATGTGTTTGCTTTGCTCCCCGTGTGTGTTATGCACCAACCCCACCCAAAGGAGCAACTTAATTACACCTCTACGATGTTAAGTTTTTAACCGGTGTTTGAAAAATCAAACCGGTCTCCGAAACGAGCCAACGCCATGTATCGAGTACCGGCCTAAAATCCCCGTAAGTTTAAGTAAATAAAAAATACAAAAATAGTTAAAGCCCAATGAAGTTTAAAATTAGTGAAACATATTGATTTTAAAAAATCAATTTCTACCCACTGGTATTTTTAAACTTTTTAAAAAAGATAAAAAAAATGTAATAAAAGTATTAATGTCCGAAACAATTTTAAGTCTTTGTCAAAACGATGAAAACCATTCAAATATGCACTACAAACAAATCTTTTTTTTTTTGAGATTTTATATAATTTTTTTTAAAAAATTTAAAATATCCAAAAATAATTTAAAATATTCAACCAGATCATTAAATCCAACAAAAATCAGAACCGCCCTGTTGGGTTTGATGATAGCTAAATCACCGTACCCATATTTCCATCTAAATATTATGGTATTATAAGAAATATAAAATTAACTTTCTTGGGAAGCAAGAGAGCAATATCTTTATAAGATAGCGAATAATGACATAATACCCATCATTTGAATGTCACCCTTTTGAGGATTATGGAAATAGAACACCAATATGGAGATGGTCTCCAAGTGAGAGACACATAGCCTCCGAGAGAGATGGACGGTATTCCTATAAGTTTAGGGTTGGTTAACTTTTACTTTTAGAGAGATAAAAATATTTATGTTTCTCTCGAGATTATCTTTTCGATAGCGGTATTGCAGTAGAAAATAGGATGTTGATCAACGATGCTGCTTGGTCGAGAGAGCAGGTTTAGAAAGAAAGATCGGTGATGGTCTTTTATCGATGTTAGGAGATAAATATTTTCTTGTAATCCAAAACTGTACTATTTATTGTGATAGTGAATTTCTAGTTACCGAAGCCGTGGATGTAGCCCTACAGGGTGAACGACATAACTCATGTGTTGTTGTGGTGTGCTTTATTTATCGCACTTGATTTATAGTTGTATTCATCTACTTCGCATTTAATCAATTGAGTACACGATATTGGGCGTGATCCCGATGGTTGGGATTATCGATTCCGCAAGCTAAGGGGTTATCAATACCCTTGCAATTGGTATCAGAGCACAAGTTGTGTACGGGGCTAAGGTTTATATTAAGAAAAAGATGAATGCAAAAGTTTTATGGATACATGGTTTTAGGTGGATAAATATGAAGGTAAAGTGTTTGTGAAAATTCAACAATGGCGGCAAGCGTGAATAAATCAATAAATATCCATAGATTGAGGTGGAAAAATATGAAAGCAAAATGTTTGTGAAAATTTCACAATGGTGGCAAGTATGAAGAAATCAATAAATCTATTCAATGAAGGTAGTCAAAGCAATTATGGTGATTTTGCTACCAAACGTGGAAATTGCTGGGTTTGGTGATAGCTAAATCACCATACCCATATTTTCTTTTAGTAGTATAGGAAATAGAAAATTGACTTTATTGGAAAACAATAATGTGATATCTTTATAAGAGAATGAAGAATGACATAATACACATCCTTTGATGATCACCCATTTGCAGGTTATGGGAATGGATTACCAATATGGAGATGGGTCCCCAAGAGAGAGACATGACCTCTGAGAGAGGGGTGGTATTCCTATGAGTTTTAGGTTTGTTAACTTTCACTTCTAAATAGAAAAAATCTCTATGTTTCTCAAGAGGTTATCCTTTCGATAGCAGTATTGAGGTGGGAAAAATGATGTTGATCGGTGGTGTATGGCCAATAACTAATCCCGCTCTAACCAATTCCAATTTGAACTGCCCAATTTTGCAAACACTAATTTCAACAACCTAATTGCGGGGGTGCGGATCAGCTTAAGATGGACGGTTATCACAAAGGTTCGAGCTCTTTGGATTGGTCCCACGCATAGACTAAGTAGTGTGTTAACTCTTAAAAGTTACAATAGGGCTCCAACTCCGTTTAAGGGTCCTATGTTAACTTGAGGACCCAAATCCATCTCTAACATGAATTTTGAAAGATACACATGTCAAATTTAGGTCAATAGTGAGCTCAAACTCTATCCAAAATTAAATATGTCGAAACAAGTGAACTCAAACTTTTAAATTTACTTTTCTAAAAAATTTGAAAATATTGAAAATAGTCCAAATAATATATTATAAATAGTACTATTTTTAGAATTTGAAGTAGTTTTTTTTTGTCTCATATCTACCTCTAGAGGTCAAGATGATCAATGTTTTTCATACAACTTTTTCCGGTGAACTTTTTACGCACATCTTACTACTATGTGAAGTGATCTTCTATCACCATGTCATTATAATACAATGCAAACACATATCTAGAAAGCTATATTTGTATGACTTTAAATTTTACATAAGTACTCTCTTCATCCCAACAATCAATTTCAATAAAAAAAATCAATTTGCACCCTAAAGACTATCAAAATGAGCCCCCTCTAGCCATGAATTTTGACCATTGATCTGATCTAATCTAAGCCATTATGAACTCAAAATCATTTTTTCCTTTTTATCATTATTCATCTAATAATAACAAAGTCATCTACAAAAATGAAAAAAACCTTCTAAGGCCTAGATCTAAGCATCTCAATAAACATATTACTTATAGGAAAAAGTTTATATAGAGTTGAAGGTGTAAATAATCAAATTAGAGCTCACCTAAAAAATTTCACTAGAAGAGGTTGTTTTGATTCTCAAATATCATCATATTGATCATCTCAACATCAAGATGCATGGACATGAGAAAAAAATGGATTTCAAGTTTTGGAAATAGTGCATCTTGCAACACATTTTTAGACTGTCAATTTTCAAGTTTTCATAGATCTGTTCAATCTACATTTTTTTTTAAGCTTTAATTGTTACAATTAACGATGAAAATTTATTTTAAGACCGTCACAAAGATTTGTAGCGGTGAAAATACATTTCTCGACACTATTTGAAGGTGCGATTGACTTTGATTATTTAGAGCCTCGGCTCTATACAAACTGCACCTATACTTATATTAAGTGGGTTAAAAAATATATTTTTCAATACAATTTTCGAATTTTGTTTTTGTTTTTGTTTTTTTGTTTTTATGATTGTTCGTGAAAATGAAAATAATGTAGCTTAAAAATTCAAGTAGCATAAATTTTTAATATTGTTTTATTATATTTACTATAAAACCCTTGCATGAAATCATTCCCCAACTTTCATACAGTATAAAGTAATGCTTATATATAAAATCTCTCTTTGGAAATATTAAATAATTTCGAAAAAAAAAAACCTAAAATGCATGAGATGCAAACAATTGCCATTTATCTTTTAGGCAAGCAAGACAGAGACAAGACTCGGCTCCACCCACTCCACTCCGCTCCTCTTCAAAGTCCACCTATTCCCGCCGCCCAATATATATGGATCATACATGCAAACAATAACAATTAATGATGAGGAGGCCCGCTCTAAGAGCCGTGAATGGTGGAGAGGTTGAAAGAGAGAGCTCCCAATCGGGTGTAAATGGGTCGGGTCTACGTTCCACATGACTCGAACCTTATTTGGATAAGTCTCAACCCCACAAGTAAAGAACCGAGCCTAGTTTGAAATCATCATTGTGGAAAAATATACAGTGAGAGTATTTATCTATGGTATAAGGTGATCACAACTAATCTTGACACCATTGGATATTTACATTTATTCCATTGAATAAGTTTAAAGTTTAAAAAAAAATAATTATCGAATTTCGTGACATACTTAAGTTATTAGACTTCATGTCGGATGTTTATAAGTAATTGTGACTTCTTTGTATCAAAGATAAATGGTCTCATTATATACAATCCCGTTTTGTTTTTTTTATGAAAGTTAAAATACAATCCCCTTTGTTATATATGGGATGTAACATACATAGGAAAAGTATATAACAAAAATATTTACTTTTGGTATAAAGTTGTCACAGTTAATTTGAACTATTAGATATGAAATTGGGTGGCTGCATTAATTATAGTGACCAAGTTCAAAGTTCAAATTTTGGTTTTTTTTCAAAGTCTCACATCAAAAAGTCATAAATAATAATAGCTTGAGCTGTATACGAGCTCTGATAAGGTTTAGGACAGGTGAAGCATAACACAACTTGACCCGCGCCTTGGCATGTGACTAATGGGGTTATGATCTAATCCTATTATCCTAGTGCTGAGGGAGAGAGAGAGGGGTGATGTGGTGCATCTCATTGCTATGCGTTGTCCCTCTGTTTGAACCCCGCGTCTTGCGCATATTGCGCCTCGGTCGGTGGCCCACGGTCGTCCTTTGCTTTAATTTATCGTTCGCACTTTGCACCGGAAAATCATGAGATTCAATGACCCCACCCACCCTTTCTTTCTCATTTGCAAATAAATCTCATCAAATCAAAGTCCTTATTGCTTGGTCGTCACTCCCAAATCCCAATAAGTCACGTCTGGTCTACTGAGATGTGATTACATATTTTATCTGCTTTAACACTTGCATCTCCTATATTTCCACTTTTCAACTTAAATACTCGTGTTATTATAACTCACTGGAGTTATCCTCGCTGTATTCCCCCTCCAATATTTTTATTTTTCCACATTTTCAGTTTTCCAAGAGGCTTTTTTTTAGATGGTCTCTTGGTCTTTTTTTTTTTTTTTTTTAAAAAAAAAAAAAACTCAATTCCAGTTGTAGACACCGAGTCTATAATCTATAATTTTCTGAATTTATAAATCTTAAGGCATAGATACGACCCGGAAGTTCATA